TGCGAGCGTCACAAGATCAGGATCCTCAAACACTGTCTGATGTTCAACTAGACAGTACAAACACAACAAATGAATTGCAATCTCAGCTTGCGGCTCCAACACACATTCAGAAGCGTCATCCGGCAGAACAAATCATAGGGGATGCTAATGCTAGAATTCAAACTCGTGGAAACAGATATACTCCAGGTCAGTATGCCTATATTTCTCTAGTAGAGCCTAAAAACTATAAAGAGGCCTTAAAAGATGATGGTTGCTCTATTGCTATGGTTGAAGAGCTAAATCAGTTTGATTACTTGCATGTTTGGGACTTGGTTCCTCGTCCAGTCAATACTACTGTGTTAGGTACTAAATGGGTTTTTCGAAATAAATCTAACGAAGAGGGCATTATCATTCGTAACTAAGCCAGATTAGTGGCTCAAGGTTACTTGCAGGAGGAAGGGATTGATTACGACGAAACTTTTGCCCCTGTGGCTCGTCTTGAATCAATCTGATTGCTATGTGCTTTTGCTAGCTATATGAATTTTAAACTCTTTCAGATGGACGTTAAAAGTGATTTTTTAAATGGAGTTATTCAGGAGGATGTTTACGTTGAACAACCTCCTGGTTTTACTGATCATCAGTTCCCTTATCACGTTTTCAAACTCAATAAAGCTCTCTGTATTGCCTTAAACAGGCCCCTCGAGCTTGGTATGAACGTTTAACTACGTTCCTTAAGGAAGAACATTTGTGCAAGGGACTGTTGATAAAACTCTCTTTATTAAAAAGGTTTCAGGTGATCTTTTGCTTGTTCAGATTTATGTTGATGATATTGTTTTTGGCTCTACTAATGAGAAACTATGCTCTGATTTCTGTGAGTCCATGAAAATGTGTTTGAGATGAGCATGATGGGAGAATTGCAATTCTTCTTAGGGCTTCAAGTCAAACAAACTCCTTATGGAATCTTTATTAATCAATCTAAATACATTTATAGTATGTTAAGTAAATTCGATATGACTGCCTTAAACACAAGTCCCACTCCTATGGCGACTAATATTAAACTGGATAAGGATGAAGCTGGAGTCCAGTGGATGAATCCCTCTATCGAGGCATGATCGGTTCTCTTCTTTACTTAATTGCTAGCAGACCTGATATTCAATATAGTGTGTGTTTGTGTGCTCGTTTTCAATCTCAACCGAAAGAAAGTCATCTCACAACAGTCAAACGTATCTTTCGTTATGTTAAAGGTACTTCTGATGTAGGTCTATGGTACAGTTAGCAGGATTTGTTTGATCTCATGGGATATAGTGATTTTGATTTTGCTGGTAGTCTCACTGATCGTAGAAGTACTACAGGCAACTGTCAGTTTGTAGGTCTCTCCCTTGTATCTTGGTCTTGCAAGAAACAAGGTGTTGTTGCTCTTTTAACAGCAGAAGCAGAGTACATTGCTGCTGACAGCTCTTGTACTCAGTTATTGTGGCTTAAAAATCAATTATCTGACTATGGTCTGACTAGTTCTACCATTCCCTTATTCTGTGACAATACTAGTGCCATTAGTATGACAAAAAACCCTGTTCAGCACTCTCGTACCAAGCATATAGAAGTTAAATACCATTTTATTCGAGATCTTGTTCAGGACAATTTATTTTCCTTACAATACATCCCTACCGAGTTCCAATTAGCAGATCTCTTTAGTCTTTACCAAACCTTTAGCTGCTGCTCACTTTACCTTTTTATGTCTTGAGATCGGGTTGAGATCCCTATCATCTCTGACCGAGATGATTGGGATGTAAGTTCTGCTTCTGCTTCTGTTTTCCTTTTTTTTATTTTTTCTTTTTTGTCTTGCTTTGATTTCCTTTTGTAATTTTCTTTGCATTTATGTCTGCATTCCTTGATTCTCTGCTTTTAAGTTCCTTCCTTGTTTTGTCTTGTCCTCGAGTATTTAACCCTGTTCTCGGTTCTCCTCCTTCTTCATCTCCTTGTCTCGTGACCCTAGCCTGCCCTTCAATATGGTATTCGCAGTCACGTTTACCAGCACTCTTTTCTTTGAGCCCATCCCCACCAACTACCATCGCCATCTCCAAAGTTATGCCTCTCGCCCTTTTCTGGCCTCGTATCATGTTCCCTTTCCTGAACTTATGGAACTGGGACTTGATGTGCATAGGCTCATTCAAAACTTGGGATGGGAGTATCTTCTTGATCACCCTTTTTCCTCTTTGGTCTGCCCTGATTTAGTTCGTTATTTCTTTTCGAACTTTCGCTCCCCCGGGCTTGCCTCCCGCTCCTTTTCTTCTATAGTTTTTGGCCATCTGTTCACTCTCCATCTCGATGACTTGTCCGATACTCTTCATATCCCTCGAGTTGGAGAGGCACTCGCTGGCGCCTCTGAGCTTGAGCTGTTTGCATTTCAATATGCTGAAGAAGCTCACTGGCGTCCTGCCAGCTCCAGATCTTCTTATGCCTGTTTCCGCCCTTCTACCCTCTCTTCGGTTGCTTCACTATTGCATCACCCGGGTCTTTGTTCCTCGTGTTGATTTTTTGGACCTTGTTCCCCGGTGGATCTTTGGATTATTTCTCATGCTGTTCATGGGGTGCCTCTTTATCTTCCCCCAATACCCCTAATATGCTACCAAAATCTCCAACTCATAAGCCAAATTAAACCAAAATCAGATTCAACAATCATCTGCCTTCATCTCACTCAACACCCGCCCCCAATTAGTACCACAATCCACTGCCACTGTTTCTCCCGTCCGTCGTTGCTCCAGTACGCTACGACTCACACCCAATCTCTCTTGGTCGAGTGAAGGTGAGAAGAAGGGTTATTCCCGCTCGAATCGACCCCTCAATATATCCTCTGCCTTTTTTTCCCTCCACTTTCCCAAATCCATCAAAAAGCAGTGTCGATGCACACCCTACCCCTTTCCCGGCAGAATTCGACGCAGCTGAAAAGCAGTCGTCATCAGTTGTAGCCGCATCTGAGAGGACATACTTCGTTGCGTTAGTTTCATTCGCTCCCCTGGTTGCCACCGTCAAAATTGTCAGTTTCGACCATGTTTCCCTAAATTCTAGGGTTCGGGCGGAACCCAGACTCTCAGAGATGCTCGACTGATTGATTGGAGCGATTGAAGAGATGGGCTGGAGCGACGGTCGGATGGGTGGGTGTGGGGGAATAGATGGATGCGGAGTGAGCCAATGCGAGGGAATGGATGGTTGCGAAGAGACGACTTTATGGTGCGAAGCACTCCCCTTAATCCTCGTCGGACATTGAGAAGAAGATTCAAGAAAGGAATTGAATCCAGTTGTCCCTGCCATCGATTCTCGTTCTGGGAGGAATCGGGGGGGGGGGGGGGGAGGGAAGTTTGATGAAGAAGATCACCGATGGTGGGTTTGTTAGGAGATGACGAATAAGGGGAATTATTATGAAATTTTTTTAAAGTAATATATGACGTGGTGTCTATGAGTCACATGAGGCTGAGTTGTCGCTGACGTGTGCATTGATTTGGCATCCTAATCAACATATCATTAACTAACTGATGGAATCTCTAACACCATTAAATTTTGTAACAAAAATGACTAGATTTGTCAAACAATTATCGAAAATTGGTCTATTCTATGTATTTCTCCAAATTTGGCTACTATTGGAGAGTGGATCCCTTGACTAAGGGGGGGGGGGTCCTTAGTCACTTGACTAAGCCCCTCCTAGCCATTAGACCTGGACACTTTAATCCAATGGTTAAAAAGTGGGAAGGACTATTTAATTAATGACAGGGGTAGTTTGGGTATTATGGAAAATTACGAAGTATACAAACAGGATTTACAATCAGTACAAACCATACAAACATACGAACAGTACAAACTAGAGCGACAAAACATACAAACAAATTTACAAACATTACAAACGTATGAACTGTACAAACAATACAAACTAGACTGACAAACAATACAAACCATACAAAAAGAAAAAACAACCGGGTTGACTTTGGAGGCTCCATCCCTATATAGAGGGGCTCCTTCCCAAGGTCAACCCGGGTGTTTTTAGACATACAAACAATACGAACATGGTGGACAAAAATGACAAACTAGACCGAAAATCCATACGAACGGGAAAAAACACCCGGGTTGACTTTGGAGGCTCCATCCCTATATAGAGAAGTTTCTTCCAAAAGTCAACCGGGTTGTTTTTTAGACATAAAAAACATTACAAACATGGTTGACAAAAACGATAAACATGGTGCACAAAAATAACAAAGTTTACAAACATTACAAAATAACAAAGCGTACAAACATTACAAAATATGTCAACAAACATCACAAAATTTCCAACCAGAAAGTCTTTCCGACCAGAAACTCTCTCTCTCTCCCACACCAAAAATGGTGGCCTGGGACTAAAAAATTGTGGCCAGGGACTTTTTTTTGGCCTGCTGAGACTTTTATTTGGCCGGCAAATCTTGGCCGGCGGTGATCTCTCTCTCGTTGCACTTGGTGGGATTGGGGGAAAGTTCCCAGCAAAATGGCCGGCGGAGCAATAATTCCCACCACCGGCGGCAGGGATTATTCCCAGCAACGGCGAAAGAGTTTACGAGGCGGGGAATTGTTTTTTCCATTAATTAATAATTGAAAATTAATAAAATCATGCAATTACTATATTGTCCTTCATTAAATTAGATTAATCTAAGCCACTAAATTTTAATGAGCTTGAAGGGCTAAAATTCCTTAGTCATGTGACTAAGGAACCCCTTAGTCTCCTGATCTTGTCCCCTACTATTGATAATACTCGAAAGTTGTCGATGTACAAGTTTATTTTGTTAAAAGGATGCAGTACAGTTTCAACTAGTTGAACCCGTTTGTGTGGTGGAGGTGCACCGTTGCAGCCTCAATTGAGCGGTGTGAGTAACGGATCGAACCAGAATGATTGGCCGAACCCACACCAATTCTTCCCACTCGTCCCCTACTTAGAAGTTAGAACTAGAATCATCCCTTAATTATTTATCCGTCGAATTTTCATTTATATTCATTATTATATTCGCTGGTATCGGACGTTGAAATTGAAAATGGTGTGGAATACAGAGAATGGAATAAAAACGAAACCCTAACAAAAAATCGGATCCATATCCGTCTCTCACCCTCTCTCACCCCCTTCTTCTATCTCACCGGAAGGAAGCTCCGTCCCTCCGTTTCGCACCGCTATCGGAACTCGAAATTGATATAGGTTCCCGATCATATTCATCGGCGGAGGACGACTATCGACGGTCGTTCTCGTGCTTCGTCCGTTTCGATCGATCCGATTGAAACCTGCTTTTCCCCCCTTCTCGGCCGGCTCCGTTGTCTTCCTCTCTCACGCCGCTGCCGTCTCCCGCTCTTCTTGCTCGAAGCTCGGCTCTCTCCTTATCTCTTCCAGCTCAACTTCCTTCCCTTTCTCTCTGTATCTGGAGTCGTTGACTTGGGAGTTGTAGCGCCCCAGCTGCCGCTGCTCCATCCAGAGGAAACTCCCGCACTTAACTCCATCCCCACCGCCGCCTTCCTGTTCCTAAGGTCACTCCTCCTCCAGCTTGGTGTTTTTTTTCTTCCTTTTCTCCTTTCATTTGCGACGTCCTTGATCATTGGTTTCTGTTCTTTGTATATCTTAGAGGATTTTCCTGGTTTAACTATTCGACCTTGTCTTTCTGGTGATCTTCAATCTTCCAGCGTTCTCCTCGGTTTCCAGTCTTCCCGTTAGAGGACTGCTCCTGTGTGTCTTGACATTTACTGCTGAGGAGGTTGGAGTGCATCTGGTCGCAATACCTTGAGGTGAGTGTTTGGACATTTTTCAACTCGGTTTTGTATTGCCAGTGGAGAAGATGTTGATACAATTTGATTTAGTTCGCTGGTCTTGTTACCCTGAAGCACTTGGTCGGAGATGTTGCATAGTGTGGATGTTGATATTTGTGGTGGCTGTCAAGCTTAGCTTTGGAAATTTGAAGCATTTTTTGGATTCTGAAGTTTTTTCTGTTGGCTTATGATGAACTGTTCTTTGTTTAAGGAGAATAGAACGTGGAAGTGTTGTACTTGCATGGTTAGAAAATGGAACCGGCTGTTTTGGATGATATTATTCGGCGGCTTTTAGAGGTTCGCGGTAGACCTGGGAAGCAGGTCCAGTTATCGGAGGCAGAAATCAGGCAACTGTGCGGGGCTTCTCGAGAGATCTTCTTGCAACAACCCAATTTGTTAGAGCTTGAAGCACCCATCAAGATTTGTGGTACTTTTACTACTAAATCTTGTTCTCATATGAAAATGAATCTGACTTGCGATACTTGTTGGTTTTTCATTTTGCTTTGTTCTTATTACATGCGGTTCATCTCCACCTTAAAACCATGTGTAAAGCTCTTCTTTTCTGGTTACATTTGCTGGTTAGACCAGCATGCAGTTCATTATTAGACTTGTTGATTTGACTGTCAATTTTCCAACTCATGGATTAGATGCCAGGTGCTAATGAGACCCTGCTCTTCTTGTGTTCCTTTAATTACTACTAGTTGGCCCTGTCAAGCATTGACTTGCAAATTGAAAAAGTTATGATGCAGCCTTGGAGGCTCATGGTATCACCTCTGGGGATTAGTGTTTGATTCAATGCATTCCTTCATCATTCCCTGTCTGTTATTCTAGTCATTGGATGATGACTTTGTCTGAACTGCACTGTCTGCCCAATTACATAATCTTGCGAAGTATTTCTTTTCATCTGATTAAAATTCCCCTATCATGATGCCCTGTTAACCTCTATGTCTGCCAACTTACCATGCCACATCCTATTGCCAAGAAGTGGGAAAAAGACCTGTGTGTGCTTGCATCTTCCTGTGTTTTATTCTATCACAATAGTCCTGAAAAGACTCTTCAAACAGCCTGATGGTTATTGTTTGGATCTGCAGGTGATATTCATGGTCAATATTCTGATCTTCTAAGGCTGTTTGAATATGGCGGATTACCTCCACATGCAAACTACTTGTTTTTGGGAGATTATGTTGATCGAGGCAAGCAAAGTCTGGAGACAATATGTCTTCTACTTGCGTACAAGATAAAGTATCCAGAGAACTTCTTTCTGTTGAGGGGAAACCACGAATGTGCTTCTATTAACCGTATATATGGTTTCTTCGACGAGTGCAAAAGGAGGTTTAATGTTAGACTGTGGAAGACTTTCACAGATTGCTTTAACTGTCTACCGGTGGCTGCTCTAATTGATGAGAAAATTCTCTGCATGCATGGTGGTCTTTCTCCAGATTTGCATAATTTGGATCAAATCAGAAACTTAGCTCGGCCTACTGATGTACCAGACACAGGTTTGCTCTGTGATCTGCTTTGGTCTGATCCTAGCAAAGATGTTCAAGGTTGGGGAATGAACGACAGGGGTGTTTCGTTTACTTTTGGTGCTGATAAGGTGGCAGAGTTCCTTCAGAAGCATGATTTGGATTTGATCTGTCGTGCTCATCAGGTTTACACTCACACTTCTGTTATCCATGTTATTCCATATTGTTTTAACATGCTTGTGATTAACCCTTTAATCCCATGGATACCAAACATCATCAGCTTCTCCTTATCCTTGTACGATCAATCTTGGGTTTTTGCGGCTTGTGTTAGTTCTTGAGTGTATTTGTTGGTCTTGTGGTGGTTATCCCCTACATTTCATTTTTTCTTACATCCATTTTACTTTTCTTTATTGCTTTGTGTGCTCTTGGATCATCTCATGTTCTCATGTGATGATGGGTTCTTGAAATCAATTCCTCTGTTTCACATCTAAAATCCTGTTGAATTTTGGCGTCATTTGCTGTTTTATATAATTCTTGGAACTCTGGAGGATATTCTTCACAATCTGCCCCTTTATCTGATCGTTTGACTTTGGTTTCACTTGTATGGTTGGTGCAGGTTGTGGAGGATGGATACGAGTTCTTTGCCAATAGACAGCTTCTAACCATATTTTCTGCACCTAATTACTGTGGAGAGTTTGATAATGCTGGTGCAATGATGAGTGTCGATGAGACGCTTATGTGCTCATTCCAAATATTAAAACCTGCCGATAAGAAGTCAAAGTTTAACTTTGGGCATGCAACTCCTGCAAAGCCTGGAAATGCTTCGGGAGGAGTTAATGTTTTTGGAAGCACAACAACAGCTAAGCCTGGTAATACACCAGCTGGGGTTAAGGTAAATGCTCGTACTGTTATTCTTTCCATTCTATATGTTTGTTAGTGTAAGATTTCATTCTGGGATACAAGGCTCTTTTGGTAATTGGTAAATGCAAAGTTACACTTGTAAACCATGTCCTAGAGAATATAGCTTTGTATGCCAAGTTAGGTTGCATTTTAGGAGCCTATAGGTATGCAGGTTGACTTTTGCGACATTTTGGAAGAGGATAGGGTTGGTCGAGGATGGTTTTTTTTAATGATTAGATTTTCATTTGGACAGATAGATTTCAACATGTTATATTGCAGTGATGATGAATTCAGGGAACGGAATTTCTGTTGTTGGGCCACATGCTAGATTTTAGAATCCATTATGGATATTATGGTAGATTCACAATCCATATGTGATAAATCGAGAAATCTATACTGGTCGAACAAGTGTCTGATAGATTTCAGTCCATATGCATTGTCCAAAATCCAGCACTGAAATGAATGATTCAATTCAGGTTGATAAATAGATTTTGGTGAAACTGCATTGTCCAAAATCCAGCACTGAAATGAATGATTCAATTCAGGTTGATAAATAGATTTTGGTGAAACTGCATTGTTCAAAATCCAGCATCCATATTGGTGGTATTTCTTCTTTGCATGACTTGTATTGCCATGTATTTTTCCTGTTTTTCAATCTTGACTTGCTCTCAAGCTGCCTTTGTTACTCAATTGTCAGTCATGTTAAAAGTGCATCGTTGTTATCCTGATTTATCATTGCCATCCTTGCTTGCAGTCCTTCCTAGGCACCAAAGTATGATGATAATAGCCTTAATCTACCGTGGGTGATGGGCTTTAGATGAATGTTTAAGAATGTCCCGCGCTGCTTTTTTCCCCTATGAAGTCCAAGACTGCAAGCGAACTCGAAAGTTGAGGGGTTTTTCAGTTCACTATTGAAGGAGGAGAAGGTGGAATTGGAAAAGGGGGAGCAAGGAACTAGATGATCGGCCATGTAAGAAAGTTTGAAGAGGGAAGGCTGTAAACTCGTAGTAGCTCTTGGCGTTTGGATGATATGGTAAAACTAAATGTCACTCTTATAGGCCAGTGAAGCAACGTTGGAATTGTTTGATTGCTTCCTCCTGATTTTACCTGTTTGAATTCCTCGACCAGACTTTGTTAAACCATATTTTGCTTCCAAGCTCATCCATCTTACCGGGGTATTAGAGGTTTCATAGAATTCACTTGCATTGCATCGCATCTATGCCTCTTCATTTTTCGTTTTATGCTTCTTAATGTTTGAAACTCCCAGCTTGAGAAGGAGAAAGTGAAGTCTATGGACACTTAGTGCCTTGGTAAAGAGATATACAAGTTAAAGTTCAGACTTGACAAGAGTAACTGTTACAATCTTCTACAAAATGTGCTTTCGAATCAAGTGAGACAGAATTTGCTTGTGGTAACATTCCAGGCCTAGAGGAATTTGGAGTTGAAGGGGAATGTTGCAATAGTTTTACTCCTTAGAATGCCCTCTAAGGAGGCATCTCTAGCTGGATTAGAATATTAGATACTCAACCAACATAGGTGTTATCACTGTTATGGCATGCTTCCATCATTTTCCTGTTTTTAGCTTTCGGCTTCCAACAATCTTCTTTCGTATGATTGTCTTTCATGCAGTATCTGCAAAATAGATTCTGAGGTGGTGGTTGATTCTTCCTCTGATCCTAACCCCTGCTACCATCAACTGCTAGGGCTATTCTTTCATCTCCTTTAGTTTCAGTGCCATGCAGGTCAAGCTATCTTTCATGCTGCAGAACATAGCTGAATGCAGATCCTATACTAGGCATAGGCTTCATAATAAAAACATTTGTACGCACTCCTTCATAGTTATCATTTAGTCCAGGGGCGGAGCTAGGTAGCCTCGGAGGGGCCGGGGCCCCTCCGAGAATTTTGAAACTACGTACAAAATCTCTTCGGATTGTGAAAAATTACGTATAAAATAGATGTTAGAATATTAATTGTGTGCGCAATAATCTGACAAGAAACTAAGGTTTGGACGAATGGTAGAAGTGTTGATCTTTTAGATTGAGTACATGGGTTCGAATCTTGCCTATAGCGAATTAGTGCCCATTTTTGCCATTTTCAAGTTGTGAGCATTCTCACCTAAACTACAGCAAATTAAGTGTTATTTTGCTATTTCCATATTGAAATAAGCCAATAAATTGTTTGAAAATGATAAAAATGAGCTACATATTGAAATACATGATTAATTTTTTTCGTAATTTAATAATTTGTTTTGACCATATCACATAGTAAATAATTATCTCAATTCTTGTTTTGTTATGATAATAAAAATTCTATAAACTTTTTTTGTCATGGTAAACTAAACAACTTCGGCCCCCCCGAGATTCAAATCCTAGCTCCGCCCCTGATTTAGTCCAATAAGTCTACTGACTACTGTACTGAACATCCTCTTTCCAATAAGTCTTCAACTTGGTAAAATATTCACTGATACTAGAACTAACCTGTTTGCATGATAGATCTGAGTCTAGAGGTCTACTAACCTATCTGGATCTACTTGAGCATACCTCATTTTCAAATTTTCCTAGATTTTATATGTATTCTCAGTGCTAGGTACCCTTTCAGTTGTGGTTTCATCAAGAGAGTTAAGAAGCCAACCCAATACCCAAGTGTTGTTGGCATCCCACTCTTCAAGGTTGGGATCAGTAGAGCTTGGTTGTGGTTTTGAGGCATCAATGTAACCAAGCCTCTGCCTTAACTTCAGGGCAATCGTCAAATATCTGCTCCATAAGTTGTAGTTCTTTCCATTAAACTTGATTGCAACAATGGATTATGGCACCAATTGATCGTGAACTGGTAAAGGAAATGACTATAGACGTCTACCCAGAATTGGTATTCATGATGAATAAAACACTGGCAGATAGTGATGGCAATTTCAACCCGCCCCGCGGGTATTACCCGACCCGACCCGCGATGGGGCGGGTATTACCCGACCCGCAGTAGCGTGGGGCGAGGCATGGGTATCTACTTCCGACCCGCCCCGCCCCGCCCCGTTCTAGACTCATTTTATCTCAATTTCTTACAATCT